CGGTTTGGTTCTGCGAATGCCCCAGTTTGGTTTTACTGGGGATGCTCTTGATTAACTTCCAATGAGGATGCACTTGCGCGTGCCGAGTCAAAAGACGATTCTAGACTTTCTGAATTCACTTGGGGAATCAGATTTGAAATTGTCTGTGGCAGATGAAGGCAGCTTCGTGTGCTGGCTAGGTCAGGGTGACCATTATGGTGCTTTTAGCTTGATCGTAGTCTCGTACAACATAATTGGCTTGAGCAACTTTGCAAGTATGGATGAGGAATGCCCCTGTCTGAAGGATCTGAGTTGAATAGAAGACCGTAAGATTCGTGCCACAATACGATATGAGGTGGCCTGCCCCAATGTCTTGAGCCACGAAACAAACTGTTCTTGATTACAGCTTTCTTGGAGAGATTTGTCGAATCTCGGCGTAACTGCCCCAGGTTGAATGAATTCTGAATAGATCTCTCGACGTGATAGCCTCTGATTGATCGAGCTTGAAGAGATTTATCGACGTGATAGCCTCTGATTGATTGATCTTGAAGAGATTAATCGACGTGATAACCTTTGATTGGTAACTTTGAGGGAATGCCCCATATTTGGCTGAGCTTGGAGAGATTGATTGACGTGATAGGCTCTGATTGATCGAGCTCTGAGGGAATGCCCCAGATTGGCTGAACTTGGAGAGATCGATTCTCGACTTGACGGCCCCAAATTAGAAGTTTAAAGGGAATGCCCCAGATTGATGGAATCTGCTAACTTTACCCCTGAAGGGTACTCAAGTTGTGAAGTACCAAGATGATTTCTCTTGACAGAATCACCGGTTAACATGCTGTTGGATAAGTCATTTCTCTTATAGCAGCTGACTCTTGCTTCAACAGGGTATTCAAGCCTCTCTTCTGACAAGATTGATCTCTTTATCGATTGTTCATTGTGTAAACATACTTGATGTCAATCAGTTGTTTTGTATGCAGAAGAATGTTTATTATAAGAATGATAATTCTAATGAAACACATACGCAAGTCTTGAAGTTTGAAAAACTTTGAATGAAATGACGTCACAACTCTGTTGTGAACGAGTCACTAGCTAGAGAGAAACATTTGCAAATTCCTTTTTATCAAATATAATGCAAGCATATGATGCCAAAATAGATATTAGAACGTACCTCTTAGGAGTCAGTTAAACGCTATCTCGTTGTAGCACGCTTTCGAATTGACCCATGCTTCAGTTAGGACTTTTATGGGTTGTAACGTGGCCTGGTTCACGGTTTTTTAGAAAAAGGATTTAAGGCTCAAAATTATTTGGTTCCCACCCATTCTCCATGATGTTCTCCATTCCTACGTTCAGTTGACCTGATATAAGCGTTCATCTCTCGAGAAGAGTTTGCAATAATTGAGGAACCACAGTGGTTTCTTGGACACGACAGTCACTAACTTCTGATTTTGGTGTCTGATCAGACGACCTTGTTCTTTGATGAGGATTTTCGTTGGTAATCCTTTTCTCGCCTTTTAGGCCTTTCAATTTGTTCTGCTTTCCCTAATTTTTGCCTGGACACATTCTTTTGAATTTTGATTTGGAAGTCCAGCGGGATGCCCCAATTTTTGCCTAAGCGACTTGTTTTCAAGTTTTGACTTGGCGGGGATATTTGTTTCTTTCTTATCCGTATTTTTTCATTTTGAACAAGTCGTTGATCTTTGAGTTGTTTTTGATTTGTCGGAAGTGATCGTGACTGCCTGAGTCTTTAGTATCGTCATTTGTTGACCTCCTGATGTGCGAGAGATACCCATTGGGATATAGTCAAATAGACGCACGTTGTTGTCAGATGAGGATTAACTATTGTGGTCTTGACTTTTCTCAATATTTTGATGGATAACCATTGTTGTATCCTTGGATGCACACTCTTGATGAGTTCTAAATGCTTGATCAGATTAGCTGAACACTACCCGCCCCAGGGTTGAAATGAGGGTTTTTTCTGAACAGAAAGGAAACTCCTACTTCGAAGGCTCAGAGGGGTTGACAAGGGTCTATCTCCCTTATATCTCCGGTGTTTGGGTATTGAAATAAGGCTTGTACATCGTCAGCAGGGTCCTACTCAAAAGCATACCAATCGAAGATTTTTGCGTTTTCGGATTATCGTCATCCTCCTTTGAATCTTTACCTAAGCATAAGACTAGGAAATTTGGCATCAATATGCAAGTAAAACATTTAAAGAGTGATAACAAATGGATGAGTAAAAAATGAAAGGAACACTTCAAGACAAGCATACTTATTGCATTAAGATTTTCGTTCAAAAATAGACAAGTTTCTATATACAAGCAATGTTTAAACAAACAAGCAAGAATGCAAATGAAAATGTAGTAAAGAAACCAATGGTTGCCATTGTTGAGGAGACTTGAATCCGTATGGACTTGCTGATTCTGACGACTTTCTGTAGTCTTGATGCTCGAGTGTGCGAGAGAATCCCCTTTCAGATTTGATGTGAACACAACAGTCTCTGAATTGATCCAGTCTTGGACTTGGTCTCTGGATGACATACCATCTGGTTTATCTGAGTATTTAATCCATTATCTTCCTGCTTGAAGAAGCTTCTGACTACGAGCCAAAGCTTGCATGTACCACTCAGAGTTATTCTGCATCTGATCCCTGAACATGTGCGGTGAGAAATCAGGTTGAACCTTTGAAGAGAACCCCAGGTCTGAATAAGAATCCCCAATCTTCGGGTACCTGCCATGAATGCATGAATATGCATGGGGTGTATGAATGTCATGTTCTGTCATTTCCAAGGAATTTTCGTGTTTTGATTTTGATTTTACGCAAGTAAGGGATGGAAGAGTTTAGTATAAGACTTGCAAATGTGATTCCTTGGAGATAACAAAACATGTATGTTAAGCGTGTAGTTAGCTATGTTATGCATGCAAAGGCATGAGATCAAAGAGGATCAAGGTTCCATTATTTATGAATAAGATTGATGCACTGCTCTGAATCGTGTGAGTATCATCAGATCAAAGGTCCGACATAGCTTCTGCATATATAAGAACCAAGTACCCTGTAGATCTCCCATTGTATGGGACCAAGGCTTCTGGAACATCGGATACTGTTGAGCATTTCTGAACATGCTGGGAATACCAAGATTGAAGGATTGAATGAACCTCAAGGTAAACAAGTCAGGATCTCATAAAATAAATCTGAGAACCATACAGTCACCAACAAGATATAGCATCTGCATCAAGTCATAACAGAAATCCAGAATATAGCCATCAGAACCAGTAGTCATTGTCTGAGCATAGTTACCATCTGAACACGAGTAACCATCTGCACATAGTCACCATCTGTACCTGTGATAGAAATTCCCTTCCCACTCACGGGTGAAAACTAGGTCAGGGTAAGATAATGGTAACTCGAAAATCATGGGTTCGCCTGAAAGTGCTATGGGCTTGCCCACAGACATGGGTGCCGATAGTAATTCATTTGAACCTCATCCAAGCGTGGTATATGACATGACTGCACTAATCGGACCACGTCCTATAGCCGCCATGCCCCCACTCTATTCCTAGGTGTTCTAGTGCACTCTGGCCTGGGTACTGGGCCTTTTACCTCAAAAGTGACATCCCAACCCAAACAAGAAGCAAATCATGTACAGCAGTAGTATATGGAAAACAGTAAAATAAAATGCATACGTATGCTCAAGAATGAGTGAATAAACTGAAAGCATGTAAAAATAAACACCCTAAGGAAAGAAAAGAAGAGCTAGGAGCGACTCCGGGATGGACCAGCATTTGGTCGACCTATTCCCCAGTGAAGTCGCCAGCTGAAACAACCGGCTGAAAATCATCAAACAATGAAGTCGCCATCGAACGTCTTTTATCCCACATGTAGGGAAAGGTAAACATCGAGAAAACCTGAGAAGGGAGAAGTCACGGTCTTGCGACCGAGAGATCGGGTAAGGGAGTCTGTCACGCGAGGGGAAGATATTAGCACCCCACACGCCTGTAGTACTCTACGGTATCCACTCTTGTTATCTATCATATGGGTGTGTTCAATCTATGCTTACTGTTTACTATACTACTGGAGGAATGCATGCAAAAGAAAAGGGAAAAGAATGTAGGGAAAATAAAATTGTGCTCGCTTGGGCCCTACTCTAATGCCTACGTATCCGTTTTGAGGAATCAAAGCTACCGTAGTTCGACTCATATGTTTTTGTTTGTTTGTGTTTTTTGTGGACGAAGTTAATTCCGCCTTCTGCCGCAGCTCGACCTTTGGAGACTTACGCGTTGGCACAGAAGTAAATTAACCGTGTCCTTACCTGAAAAGGGTTTTTTAAGAAAGGTGCTCGAGCGCACAAAAGATTTGAATTGGTTTATATTTTGTTGCAGATAATGACTGATTGACCTCAAGAGAGAGATATTAGCCATTTTTCTACTTAGCTATGAAAGGAGTCTTTGAGAATTGAACCACACATATGCTTGAGATGAAGAACGATAAGGTCGAGAAGAGACCCGCTTATCATTTCTCGTACTAAGCAAAAGCATGATTCTCATCAGTAGTTTTTAAAGTGTTTTGAATTTTGAAAGAAAAGAAGTTTTAGTTTTAGATGCGTATGCGAAAGGGAAAGAAAAGTTAAAGGGGGAATTAGCCTATTTCTAAACCTGATGTTATCGTGCGTGGTTAGACCTAAAGTTAGAATTTTGAGGGAATTCTACCTAATGTTAGCATGCTTGAATTTGAAAGCCTAATGTCTAATTTTAGTTCAATTAAATCGAAGATTAAATTTGAACCAAAATCTCCTAAGGAATCATGAAATAATATACGAACAAGTAAAATTAGGCAGCAAGTATCAAAATATCGCATACAATCCATACCAAAAATCGCAAACGAAACACATGACATAAAAATGAGTAAAACTAATGATTAAAATTGAAAAGAAAAAAAGTTAGAGAAGTGAAAAGAAATCTCTTTTATTTACCAATATTGCCAAATAAAATAAATCACCAAAATTAATCGCAAACGCAATCGAAATGAGTATTGGAAATAAGATCTCAGGAGGTACGAACTGAATTCAATATGTGCTGCAAAAAAATGCAATGACATTAGGCCCCATCAAAAATAAACACAATCAGCAAAAAAATAAAAATAATCATAGTCCAGGAATTGATTAGTTTGGCCCATGTCAACCATTCTTAATTTTATTAATCATCATATTATTATTATATTTATTTGTTGAATTAATAATATAAAAATGATAATAATAGAAAAATATGATGATAAAAATTGATAATAATACTAATAGTTAATATAAAATAAAAAATTAAAACTAACCTAGTTTACTAAAACAAAAGAAAGTGGATAGCATGGGGAGCCGCTCATATGCCTTTTTATTTCATTTTAATAAAAAATAAAAAAATAAAAATAACAACATTCTAAATTAGATTTGACTAATTCAAACTAATATTAAACAAAACCACATAAATAAAATATGAAAATAAGTAGCACAAAGAAATAAAGAAAACTTTTACGGTTTAGACAAAGATCTCATCCTCATTTATCCCTTTCATTTTTCTCCTTCACGCCTCTCACAGTAAAACCCCTCCATCTTTATTGTCACATATTCAAAGAAAGAAAGAAAGAAAAGAAAAAAAGGAAAAGGGGCAATCTAGGGATTCAAGACAGCGTCGCCTCGTCTTCTTCGCTGGTCCTCCGTCGCAATTCTCCTTCAACCCAACATCTCACCTCACGATCTCCGGCGTCGCCTTATAAATTAGCGCCTCCGTCTTCTCTTCAAAAGAACAACATGGCAACATTATATGCCAAAGGAAAAGATTGAAAGGTGTTACCTACCATAGACGAGTCCGCTGCTCCTTCCACACCGTTGCAACGATGAGAAATCCGTATATCTTTCCGCGAAGTTTCAGGTATGCGTACTCGTTTGTATCTTTCTTGTTGTTTTACTTCTCTCCTTCTACTTGTGTTATGGTACTACTGTGAGTTGTTGTAGAGATGGCGCCGAAAATTAAAGAAAACTCCGCGATGAAATCATTGTTGTATGATGTTGCAGGAGAAGCAGTGATGATGAAGATGCAAATATTGTTGCAGATTATTGATGAAGAAGGGATATGAGTTTCAGAGAAGTCTTCAGATGAAGATCGACAGGATATTGCAGAAAAACTCAGAGAAAGTTGAAGTAGTTGATGGAGATTGAAGAAGGTTGAATATGAAGATGATGTTGAAGCGTGAAGGTCCGAGACGGAAGATTGAAGGTGCGTGAAGGTGAAGATGGAGAAGAGGGAGAGAGATTGCAGAGAGAGTTGAAAGGTGCTAATTGAAATTTTTCTGTTATCTTTTTGTGAATGAATGGTGAAAAGTGAATCCCCTTTGCCCTTTTTTAAGATCTATTTGTGATCTCTATTATAAGCTGAGTTGTTAGTTAGGTAGTAGTTATCAAAATTCTGTTATGCAGTTGGTTATAGGTTTGTTAAGTTAGTTATAAACTATTAGTTTTGGTTGGTTAATGAAGAAATCAGTTAGCAGTTAGTTATAGTTAGTTCTGTTATGTGCTGTTTGACAGTTAGATGTGGTTTTGAAAACTGTTAGAGGTTGGTTAAAGGCTGTTATGAACTGTTAGTTTTGGTTGGGAAATAATAACTGTTTCTTTTTTGTAAAAATGGTTGAGAGTTTGAGAAGGTTAGAAAAAATAGGTCTTGATAATTGTGTATTGCGTGTAAAAAGATGTTAATGGCTGTATGTGTGTGAGAGATGTGTGTTCGTCAGATTTTATTGTCATAAAATACTATGCGCTTGTTACACACTATTTTGAATGTGTCTGCAGTTATTATGATATCACAATCTTAGTATTTGCAAGTGGCTGAATTGTTGTCAACATGACCCATATGGATTTATGTTGCAGTTGCTATCTAGTCTGCTGATGATTTAATAACGCCTGTGTGTTGTTTTGAGAGTGTCCTGATCACATGCATATTTGTTCAAGTTTCGCCATATTGCTGTGCTAAGTGATCCTGCAAACAGATGCTAATTTGCAGTTGTGTTTGTGTAAAGCAGTGAACTGAGTGCGATGACTAACAATACTTTGTTTGATTTTACTTTAGTGTTGACTGTGATAATTAATCATGTGTGTGATCTTCTTTATTCAACGCCCTATTACCTTGTGAGTGCTATAAGATATGTATTATGTATAAATGTTATGTGTAGTCGTAATGTAAGAGCTAATATGAGAAAGATGATAAATTAAGAAAAGTCGTTAGGTTATAGTTATAGAGGTTAGGATTATTTAGGTTATTTTTGTTATGACAATTTGAGATGGACAGTACTGCACTAAGCTTATATTATGCATATATATTATTTTATTCATTACTGAGCTGTTGTTTGATTAATTGCAGGACATGTTCAAGAGTATCGACCAGTGTATCATAGACCTCTTAGGGGCAGTTGTCAGGGCCAGGTTTGTCATGAAGGTACATGATATCCAAAGTGAAGAGTCTCTGGTTCTCAGGCCACTGATGCTGTGGGCGCTCAGTTGATCTGCAGTAGAATAGAATCACTCTTAAAATGCGACCCTGCATACGGGATTTTCTAGCTTCACGGGCAGCAAGTTGAAACAAAGTAGTAAGGTCTGGTTGAGTGGTAGATGTAGTAGCAGAAAATCCTCGCACTGCTGCTATTGTTGACTCAACTTTGCTGCTAAACTCTTTCATCAGCGATGAAACGGAATTGGAGAGAGTAGCGAAAGCGAAACGGTGTTGAGGATTGATGGTGAGTTTGGTATTGACAAAGAGAAGGATGGATTGTTTAATGGCGTCAAAACAAGTGATGGATTGAGGATCAATGTCAATGCAGAATAGTATATCTTCGTTGCTAATTGGTAAGGGTTCAAGATTGTAACTGCTGTTTGCTTTTCCTTCGACTCTTTGTTCTTCCATGGCGCTTTCTTTCTTCTTGCTAGCTTGTGTAACTGTTTTGTGAGAGAAAATTAGTGGGTTTATATTGTGGAACTTATAGGCTTCACATTTGTTTTTCTTTTTTTTTTGTGCAGTAGGCAGATTTGGAGAAATTTAAAAGCACGGACAATTCAAAGCTGAGAATTCTGATAAGACAAGGATGCGATACGTTTCGAACTTTGGTCGTGAAGGATGAAGATTTAATCAAGAAGGGTAAGAGCCAGGGGCAAGAAAATTATGGAGTTTATCATAGGAGGAACATGAAGCTTATACACAATGTTTAGATTTTGTAGGATAGTATTTGTAATCTTCTCCTCTTAAAACCTTCTTTTAAATTGTATACTTCTTTTTTAGTAACTCTTGTGTGATATTTGGATTCTAATGGAGAAGTTTCACCTACTTCTTCTTTTTCTTCAAATAGAACTCTGCTTATAGTTTGGTAGCATGATGAAATTAGGGGCATGATATCAATTTTCTCAAGTGCTCAAAGTATTGCCTTTTATTTTCCATAGAATCGTAATGATACGGTTACTCAAATGTAAATTGTAATGGTCATGAATATGAAGTCAAGTATGGTCAAGGCGTGGTTTTTTGAGCTCGTCTTGTAAAACAAAGTTGAATGATAGCTCCCTTTTTTCATGGCTTGTTGCTTGAATTCCAAGGAAACCCGCTAAATACATTTCCCAACTTTGTATGCTTAACAAATAAAATATGTAGCTTTGACGCCGTTTCGACAAACTTGAACAAATTTGAATTTTGTATCAAAAACTTGAATGAACACTTCACATTCCTAACTCAGCCCAATGAAACCTTAATTCACTTTGGTTTTTTATTTGTTCAATTCAGCCCAAACTTGTATGCTAAGCACAAATATCCTGAAGAATGATGATACTTTACAAATCACAACATCTCTTTGACAAAACCCCTTCTCAATAGATGATAATGACTATGCCCTGAGGGATTCATTGCAGATGAATATGAAAGATGAGACATGCGAATACCTTGATATGGAATGAACCTCAGGCGGAATGCTGACAAGCTCAAGTATGATAATGTATAAACCCTGATTTTTAGCTTCGTCTCATAAAACCTTGCAACTTGATATTGAGAAGAAAATAATAGCCTCGTAGCTTGATGATGATAAGGTCCATGAAATGAAAACCTAGCTTTAAACAAATGATCGATGGAGAAATCAATTGAAACAAGCTTGTGCAAAGATGAAAGCCTTTTAAAGTCATACAACAACCCTAGTTCCATAATATCACTGATCTTATGCAAAATTATGTTGTTGATGAATGTATGCAATGTTAAATGACCTAATGGAAGTTATATATGTGAGAAAAAATGCAAAAATGCGTAAGCCAGATAGGAAGTAAAAAGGTAGGACAAATTTGGGGTATTACACCTAATGGCCAAGTTGTTTAACTAAAGGTTCTAAGGTCAGTTAATGCTTCATGACACCACGCAGCGGCCCCGTATTCTCCTTGACTACTCAAGGGCTACCGATACCAACCAAAGTGTCAGATCAATGTAGCTATCACTTTAACTGTATCGGTATACCCCGCACAGTTTCCACGATCTATTGCTACTTACCTAAAAGGTGTCCCAGATCCGGGTGTAGGATCTATAGTAACAACCCAAACAACCCTCCAAGGATAAAATACAAAGCAAGCAATTAAAACAGTTTTAAAATGAACTAACTCTAAGGTAACCCCACTTTATAAAGTTCCCCATCAGAGTCTCCAGTTCTGTGATACCGTGGCAGAACCGATTGTTAATACTGGTTTTGCATTTGTGTTTGAAAATGTTACGGTAAGCAAGAGTCGCCATTGACTTTTATTTTATCCAACAAAGGAAAGGGTGAAAAGAACAGAAAAAGACCTTTTCGAGAATTTTCTGAGTAAGGGGGGTATATTATGGAAAGGGAAGGTGTTAGCACCCTTTCCATCCGTAGTTTTCTACGGACTCTTAGTTGCTTGCTAGTTCATTTTGCTTTATTTGAAAATGTGCTTGTGGTGTGGGTTTGAAAATATTTTGAAAACGTCTTTGTAATGATTCTTGTCTGTTGTACCCCAAAATTTGCCCTCCCATATTTCCCAAAACATTTCAAGAAAGATCCTGAAGTTGCTCAAGGTAGTCCAAGGGCTGGCCAGACAAGCTCTCTCCTAAGGCAGTCCACCTCAAATTAGGGTTTCAAGTTGCATCAAGATACTTGAGTCCAAGGGGTCCCAAATGCTCAATATTGTCCTAATATGTTATCAAGATCATCCATGTCAAGTTTCAAGCCTTGCAGAGGAAGTTTGCTCAATCAATTGCTCAAAGGCCTGAAAATCGACAGTGCTAGGGCAAAAGTCAACAGTGGCCCACATGCAATCAAACTTCAAGATTTTTGGTCAATATTCTCATTTTAAAGTATATTTCATCATTTGATCAAGGGTTGATCAAGATTCATCAAGGATCGCTCATAATTCATCAAAACTCAAAAGTTGCTAAATTAGGGTTTTGTAGGAAAAGTCACCTCAACTTTGACCAAGTATAACTTTCTCATAATTTATGAGAAATGACCCATCCAAAGCTCATTTTGAATATGATGCAATTCCATATAATCCATCTTCAGCTCCCAAGTTCAAAATATGCACTCACAAGAAGTTATGAATTTGGACATTATAGGTCATTTTGAAAAGTCAACAAAAACACCTTTTTTGTCAAAGCTTCATACATGACAATGGAATATAAAATTGAGATGAGACCAAAAGGGTTGATTAAAGGACATCTCAAGATTTCTAAAAAGTCCAAGAAAACCTCCAAAGAGTCAAAATTGAGGAAGTTATGCATTGGTGAAGTTGACCCTTTTTGCAAAATTGCCAAAAGT